CGTTTTTTCTCGCATTCTCTTGATTATAGCCAAACATATCTCTAAACACAAAATAAATTACATAATCATGACATAGATTATAAATTAAAATCTGTGAAATTATGAAAGATAAGCATATATTGTGAGCCTTCTTTTACTTTTTGTATAAGCTTATTTTTTCTTTTTAAATTTTTTTAAGCTTATATATTATTGTTTAAGCTTTCGCATAAGCATTTTTCGAAGATTTTATATGCTTATAATACCCAGCCGGCATTATTACGTTGTTTCAACGTTGAAATTCGGTTGAAGCGTTGATTCAACGTTGTTCAACTATGTCACAACGTTAAATCAACGTTACCGTTTAAACGTTGATTATTTAACGTTATTTCAACGTTAAATCAACGTTACCGTTTAAACGTTGATTATTTAACGTTATTTTAACGTCATTATTTGACAAAAAATACGATATAAAATTTATGCGCGCGCAGAAATGGAAGTAAAATCGTAAACATTATTTCAAAGATTAAAGTTATAGAGATTTATAATGGAAAAAAAATGGGGTAGGTACAATCGGCAGAGCAGAGCAGATTGGCTGAGCAGATCATTTACGGCAACTTTCTACGTACATATATTAGTTTATTAAAAAAAGGCGGTTCCAGCACTTATAAATTCTTTTAATCATTTAAAGATAGAAGCTGTTACTGAACTTTTCACTAATAGTGATATTACTACCAGACCAACTGTGCTCAACAATCCAAAAGCAGGAGAAGTGTATGTCGTTCAAGTGAACAATGGGAAAGGTTATTAACAATATAGATTTTATTTACATTCTATAAATTTTAATTAGTCTAATATTATTAGACTAATTAAATAAATAAATATTTTTTGTAATAAGAATGAGCCTTTATACGCCTTATTGTGCCTTTCTAATTAATAAAGCCTTTTAAACCCTTCAAAAAATTATTAGGTAATAATATATTATTAATCATTATTATTATTATTATTATTATTATTATTATTATTATTATTAATACATAATTAACAATATTAATATTGTTAAGAAGATTAATTTAAATATTAAGAAAAGTTACTTTCTTTAAGTAAATAAGTTACTTAAATAAGTAACTTATTTTTAGTAAATATAAAGATGATAACTTATTGTTATATTTGTAACTTGTTTTATTTCCTAAGTAATACTAAAATTTACTTGACCATGATACTGCCTAGAAAGCTTAGAAAGCCCTTCCCTCTCATTTGTGTTTGCTATTTGTACATCAAAATAGTGTAATATACACAAAAATTTATAACAAACAAAAAATATTACAACATATATATATATATATATATAAATATATATATATATATATATATATATATATATATATATATATATATATATATATATATATAAACATTTATTGTTGTGTACTTTGAATATCCATTAATTATTAGATGAATTTTTAAAAATACAATAACATGTTTTGTCTATTATATAATAAGTACCAATGTAGGCGGAAACATTTCTTGTTAGATGTATTTAAAATATTTAAAAAAATTATCATTTTTATTTTAAGATATTTAAAAGACTGTTTTTTTAAATGATTGGCGTGCAGATGGATATAGATGGAAACAGAGTGGATGCTGTAAAATTCCACGTGGCTCTCCAGTTTACTCAAAACTCCACTATGCCACAGTAACATCTACTGGGACATCAACTTTGTTTCAGAAGTTTGTGTATAAAGATTTAAGCCAAAAAGATGTTGTTGTCATTTATTATATGGGAAACCACGAACTTGCTGTCCTTAAGCCACATGGTAATTTTTTCATATTTTAATAACAGTTCAGTAACATGTTTGTTTATAGTATATTTCTCATAGGTTCCTGACTAAAAATTATGTCTAACTAAGGTATATTTTAATGGATTTTAGGAAACTCTAAAAAAGCTATTAACTTCCTACCAACAGCTTTATCCGTGCAGAGTGCAATTGTTAATTCAAAAAGTTACAAAGATCTACTCATTGATGTCAAAGACGAACAGATGCAGTTTCAGCCAAGAAATCCAAGACAATTCAAGTATGTAAAAAGTGTTGAGGCAGCAGGTAAAAGAATTGGTACTGATTCCTTTATAACTCTTCATGAACTTGCTTATATGATTCCAGGATTTGTATGGACAATATCCACTTACCCTGACTTGTCAGTATCATTTGGCATGCAGAAATCCATAGATCAGCTTGTTATGTGCTCTGAGGTATTTCTATCATATGATACTACATTTAATTTAGGTGATTTTTACTTATCAATTTTAGTGGCACAAATGAGTTATTTTGTGGAAAAACCATGTATGCCTATAGCTTTTGTATTACATGATCGAAAGTTTGATGTTGTTCATAAACATTTTTTTAAAACTCTTAAAACAAAACTACCAACTCTAAATCAGGTGGTAATTGTAACAGATGGCGAGAGTGGTCTGGGCAAGTCAATTCAAAAAGCATTTCCTAGGTGGAACCTAGTAACATGCTCTAACCATATTTTGTCAGATGCTGAGATTTGGTTGAAAAAACACTATGCTGGTAAGGAAGAGATAAATGTATACAAATCTCAAATACAAGAACTTTTACAATGTCAAAGTAAGGGGCAGCTTGAAATGAAGATTGGTACATTAAGGCTTTCTTGGAGTGAAGCCTTTGTTATTTATTTTGAAAACCACTTGAGCGCTCGCATTTCAATTGCTTATATTGGACATTTGAGGTCTGTTGGTTTAATGCAAAACTTTATTACAAACAATGTATCTGAATCATTGAATGCTGTAATAAAGAAGTATCAGGATTGGGAAGAGGCACCGGTTGATACAATGCTTATAGCAATGCACCGTTTGCAAGAATTTTATCTAACAGAAATCAGACGCAGTTTTGGTGGCTTTGGGCCATACACTCTCAATGAAAGTAGTCACCTATCTAGTATGTATTTAAAATATGTTATAACTTTTATTTATTTATGAACTGTGTTAATTTATTTATGCTCTATTTTTACACTGTTTTAGGAAAATTAGTTGCCCATAAGAATATATTCATCATCAGTATTATATAGATGATATTTAGTCTTACTTTTTTGCACTATGTTTTGGAATTCAGACTAGAAAACTTTGTTTTTTTCTCTAATATATTTTCCCTACAGCGGGTTTTATTCAAATGTTTAGTCATCTCAAACTTTAGTTCAGTTGCGATATGACAAACAAAAAAAAAAATTTAGTGTATATTTTCAAACTTGTTTGGTTTATTTTGTATAAAATTTTTCAAGGCTTACCAAAATTTAGCTTTAATGACTCTAAGCAAGGATGTGGATTGTTTTGTATGCTAATTAACAGGCAGTGGGACATTTATTGTGTATAGAGTATTCAACCAGAGTATACTCTAATGAAGTGCAATAAAAAAGTAACAATAATATACTGTGTGTGTAGGTGTGTATTTATATATATATATATATATATATATATATGTATATATATATATATATATATATATATATATATATATATATATATATATATATATATATATATATATATATATATATATAATATATATATATATATATATATATATATATATATATATATATATATATATATATATATGTATATATGTATGTATGTATGTATGTATGTATGTATGTATGTATGTACAATTGTTGTATGTACTGAGACTGTGTTGCTAGTGCTTTAAGTGGCAGTATTTAATGTTTGTTTTTGTTTTAAACAATCTACGAGTGTGTGCGGTCAAAATTTTGAATGTTCAAGCTCCTTTTATAATGGCCTCTTTTGGGTTATTGTGAAAAGAAGCAGCCATGCGTGTTTACTTTTTGTCATTTTTGTGCCTTTTTTCAAATTTTTATTTTTTGCATTCAGTACACTTTCATATTTTAATTATACAATACAAAGTTTTCAGAACACTTTTTAGATTAAAATAATTCCAGGTAAACAGATTATGTTATTTAATGATTATTTTTGTAGAACTTTTACACACAATATCTACCATTACTGATATAACATTACTTTAATTAAAGAAAAATTATATTTATTTAATTTTTTTAAATTAAATAGTGCTTTTCCAATAGGTAAATATTTGTTGCATGTTCCAGAACAAGAACATTTAGTAGCTTGTTTTTCAAATTTAATAAACATTCAGTGCAGGTAGGTAAAAAATAGAACACAATTTTTTTACATTTTATATATGATTAACGCTTATATTACTTTTTTTGTTATAAGAAAAGAAGTTTTTCCACCCTAATTTCTCTTTTTTTTTTCATTTTGTTTTAGTTTGCTTACTGTTGAAATATGGTTTGAATTTAGTAAATTTTCATGATTTTAAATTTACTATATTGATCATTTGCCAACAGTTAATGAAAGTTGTATACAATTGAGTTATGAATGACTTTGTTTACTAGAATCACTGTAAAGAAGATTTTTATGGTTAACTATACTTTTATTGCTGTTTAGTATACATAGTTGTTGTTTCAATTGTCATAAGTAAATATTGTTATATTCATGGTAAGGTTTATTTAATTTATAATTTATTGTAATGTTAATTTATATAAATATATATATATATATATATATATATATATATATATATATATATATATATATATATATATATATATATATATATATATATATATATTTATATTTATATTAACAAGTTTATAATAATTATAAATATAAATTTACAATAATTATTATATAATTTAAACAGGGATTATCTTTTCCCAGTTATTTCTGGAATTCCAGATATTTTCTTAACTTGTGTTTTTTCAAATTATTCTTTTGAATGCTTATAAAGTTAAGTTATGGTTTGAATGTAAAACAAAAAAAGTGAAATTGACAGATTCACAAAATGTTTTAAAAAAGCACTTGATTACTCCTGTCATTATATGACTAATTTAATGTTTAACTTGAACTAATTAATGTTTAATATTTTTCGCCATAATTATTTTAACAATTTTTTTTTTCTGACTTAGCGCGAAAAAGTCAGAGGAAGTTTGTCTATAGTGATGATGTTTGAAGTCTTTAACTATTGTTTCAGTTAACATTGAGGAAATACCCAGAATGGAGGATCCTGAACTTGTAATTGCCGAGCTACGTGCAGCAACCAATGTACCGTTAAAGCAGCTTGTACCACCATCAATAAAAGTCCTTTCCAACATGCTAACAGTGGTACATAATCCAACCATCAAAGTTTTTACAGTTTCTGGACCAGATAGCAAGGCGGAAGTGGTGAAGTTATTTCCGAAAGAAAGCTGCACATGTCCTTCATCAACAATGTGCTGCCATATACTAGCAGTTAAACATAGCATTGGTGTTGAGCATTGTAGTGAAAGGAGACCTCTTAATTTGACTAATTTGCGACGCAATTCGCGGTACATTTATTTGTTTTTTTGTCTTTTTGAATATTTTCAATTTTTTTGTTTCCTTGGCAAAATTAATGTTGTTTTGTTTAATAAAATATATAAAAGAACTCCTTTTTAGTAAAAAAGGTGACAAAAAATCAGGAAGGAAGAAGCCAAGGAAAGGAGATATTTCCTTTATCCCTGCACCAGATGCAATTGCCACAACCAAAAATCTTGAAATAAATTGCTTAGATGATTTCTTGACAGAAAATATTGACCTAAAAGATATTGCTATGGCGACCCCATTAACTCAATGTAAAATGTAAAATAATTGTTTTTAAAATTTTAGCATTTTAATATTTAGTGTAAGTGTTTTTTTATAACTAAGTTGTATATTTTATTTAAGGGAACAAAAAAAATTAACATTAGTCAATTCAAGTGTTTCGAAGATATCTCAAGCTGTAGGTTCTTTAGTTTTATCCGATTGTTCATTATTTATAAATTCAGATGTTACACCAGTAGTTGATGTTGATAATGGAATGTTTCCAAATTTATTTGAAAATAATGCTTTACATTTTGAGTATATACATATAGATGTTTGGAGTTTGTTCCTTGTCTGGAAGTTTTCAAACATCAGGAAGTGCTGTATCCACCTCTGAAGAGTATCAACAATTTTTATAAAGTGCCACCTCGCTTTGGATTTTCCTTTGAAAACAAAATGCCCTAGAAATTTTCAAAAAAAAAAATTGAAATGGAAAAAGCTGTGTTTTCAATATTTATAAATTAATTTCATTTATTTTTTGTTGTCATATTTACATATATAACTTTTTATTGTCATATTTTTTGTCATCATATTTTTTGTTGTCATATTTTTTGTCGTCATATTTTTTGTTGTCATATTTACAATATTACGTCAGATATTTTAAAAATAAGATTTTGTTATGATATCTTTATATCTTTACATTTTGGTACTGCAGCCTTATTGAATCAATCAAAAATGTAAATTGTTTCTTGTTTTTGTGCCTTTATTACTTATTATTTTTTTGTTTTCAGTTTTAATTTTTCAATTGTTGATTAATTAATCTTTAAATTGTTTTTTGTATTAAATATGTTATGGTTTTTAAGCGAGCAAAATGGATTGAAAATTGTCAATGCAGATGCACAGAAAAGACAATCTACATATTCTTTAGTTGCATCTGATTCTCTATCATTACTTAATTCATATGTGATACCATTGGTTAATGTTAAATCAGACTGTATTGTAAGTGATACAATTTCTATTTATTTCTAAGTTTTTCTAAGAGTATTTCCGTATTTATGCTTATAGGCTAGTAAGCACTAATTTAAATTAGAGGTGTGTGTTATTGTATTTAATACTCACTCTTGTTATTTTAATTTAATACACCATTACTTCTGATGATATTCCTATATCAAACTAACATTAACCTCCTATGCTTTCACATTTCTACAATTATCTTTATTAAGTAATATCTTTTATTGAGCATTAATGTAACCACAATAAATATACGTTGTTGACGAATTATTGTTTTTTTTAAATCCTCAGTTAAGTCTATATAGTTTTTAGTTTATAATCTTTAATGATTGAAATTTTGTTTTCCAGGTTGATGACGAGGCTTGGCTTCGATTTAATACAATGAGTCTAAGCATTGCTGATAGAAGTCTCATCACAAGTCCAGTTGGCCTCCTTAATGACAAAGTAATTTATGCTGCGATGATTTTGTGTAAACGGCAGTTTCCTGAAATGGATGGTTTACAAGACCCTATTCTGTGTTTTGCGGGTCAGTGTAATAGTGCTCCGTTTTCAAGTCGTGAATTCGTTCAAATTTTTAATGATGAAATTAAAGGTCATTGGATAACTGTAGCTAACCAGCATTGCAAAGAAGGTAAAATAAACATTTATTGCAGTTTACAATTGACTCCGAGCAAAGAGTGTACACGTTCTATTGCAAAATTTGCGCGTCTACAGTGTGCCACTATCGAGCTCAATATAAACAATGTATCCCGCCAAAAAGACCTACTATGTGGATTTTACGCAATTGCAAATTGCGTTACATTGTGCTTAGGCAAAGATCCCTGCAATTTTACGTACAAGGAGTCAGTAATGCGGCAACACTTATTGACTTGTATTGAAAAAAAACATATTATCCAGTTTCCTGTTGAAAGTTTTAGAACTGTTCGGAAGAGTGTTATTCGTGTTTCAAGAAACTCTTTGTATTGTCTGTGTCGCACTATTTTTATGTCTTCGGATTCAATGATCCAATGTACATTATGCAACGAGTGGTTTCATGCATCTTGCGTAGGTTTAACAGAGGAACTTTTTGTTGAGTACAAAAAAGATATTCGCAAAGCTTATAAATGCGCCAAATGTATATAGGATTCTTACTGAACATTTATAAATTAACATTTTTTTTTGGAAAAAGGACCTGCCGAATTTTTTTGGTAGATCACACATCAGAAAACGGCTGATAGGATAATCTGTTCTGCCGTTATTAACATTACAATGATCTGCTCTGCCGGTTGCGTTATGATCTGCCAAATTATTTGGCAGATCACACATCAGAATACGGCAGGTCACTTTTTTTTTTGGTAAAGTTTTGCGACTAAAAAATGTCTATGCATAAAAATTAGGTCAAATATTGATTCTTTCTATTCTAAGTGCATTGCCTTTCATAAAAATATTAGGCAATCACATTATAACAATTTTATCTATGATCTGCCGAATTTTTTTGGCAGATCACACTTCAGAAAACGGCTGATAGGATAATCTGCTCTGCCGTTATTATTATTACTATGATCTGCTCTGCCAATCTGCTCTGCCGGTTGCATTATGATCTGCCGAAATATTTGGCAGATCACACATTAGAATACGGCAGATCACCTTTTTTTTGGAAAAGTATTGCGACAACAAAAAACGTTTATGTTTAAAAAGTCAACCCATAGTTCTTTCTATTTGAAGTGCATCGTTTTTCATAAAAATATTTGGCAATCACATTATAAAAATTCTATTATATGATCTGCCGAATTATTTAGCAGATCACACTTAAGGAAACGGCTGATTGAATAATCTGCTCTGCCGTTACTAACATTTCAATGGTCTGCTCTGCCAATCTGCTCTGCCGGTTGCATTATGATCTGCCGAAATATTTGGCAGATCACACATTAGAATACGGCAGATCACCTTTTTTTTTGGAAAAGTATTGCGACAACAAAAAACGTTTATGCCTAAAAAGTCAACTCATAGTCCTTTCTATTTGAAGTGCATCGTTTTTCATAAAAATATTTGGCAATCACATTATAAAAATTCCATTATATGATCTGCCGAATTATTTAGCAGATCACACTTAAGGAAACGGCTGATTGAATAATCTGCTCTGCCGTTACTAACATTTCAATGATCTGCTCTGCCAATTTGCTCTGCCGGTTGCATTATGATCTGCCGAAATATTTGGCAGATCACACATTAGAATACGGCAGATCACCTTTTTTTTTGGAAAAGTATTGCGACAACAAAAAACGTTTATGTTTAAAAAGTCAACCCATAGTTCTTTCTATTTGAAGTGCATCGTTTTTCATAAAAATATTTGGCAATCACATTATAAAAATTCTATTATATGATCTGCCGAATTATTTAGCAGATCACACATTAGGAAACGGCTGATTGAATAATCTGCTCTGCCGTTATTAACACTTCAACGATCTGCTCTGCCAATCTGCTCTGCTCTGCCGATTGTACCTACCCAAAAAAATGTAAATACTGAACTTATATCATATAGAATTTTCAAGAGATCGAAAACATGTTCAGATGATTTTCCTGAAAGAACATTATCGTTTAAAAATCGATATTTTTCGTTTAACTTGGGCTAAAATGCTCAAAGACTGATATTATTAAATGTAAATACAATACAGCTTTTTCAAAAAATGATCAACTAAATTATGTTGAATTTAATGCTAAGCGTTGTTTTTTAATAGAGCATCAAGAATTAAAAAAAGAAATTGATAACTTTAAAAAAGAACTTCAGCACGAAATAAAAAAATAAAGATTTATTTGAAAAATTAACTTCAACCACATCAGTTATTACTATGAAAACAGACAAACTTGTATATAAACATAATCCAAACAAATCGTGTTATTGCAATTTACTTGTATACAAACATTTATTTTAAAAATAATAGATCTTGCGACTTTTATACTGGCCTTACATCTGTCAATGTGTTTCATCAGTTAGTGCAGTATCACCATTAATCAAAAGAGATAAAGTGATATTAAAAAAAACATTTACTTCTGTTTTTTGAAATTTAAAAAAGTCTTTAACTACTTGGACCAAAATAAATGTAATGCAGCAAAGATGAATTTTTAATGATGCTAATACTTGGATTATTGACAGCTGATTTTGCTGACAGGTTTAATATATTTTTAGGATTAGTGAATGCAATATTTTCTTCATTGTTGAAAGCTTCTAGCTCACTTTTAAACCACATGGCTTTTGTTCCAAGTAAAGATGTTATAAGACAGGCAATGCAAAACAGATTTTAGAAATTAAATTATTCAGACTAACACTAAATTTCAGATATAACAGAATTTATTATGGAAACACCTTAAAATTTTGACACTAACAGGGAATGAATACAAACATTACAACAATATAAAAACATTAGTACTCGTAGATCCAAATTCATCAATAATTTCTTTAAAAAATTTCTAAAGCTTACAGAAGCTAAATTTTGGATAAAAAAATTACATATCGCATCATTTATTTAGATTGTATTACAAAATACTCTTGTATAATGTATGATTAAGGCTTTATTATTAATTTTTTAATACAAATGAAGTGATTTTAACTAAATCCATTTTTATCAGTCACTTTAAAAATATGATGAGTATTTGTATAAAGATAATTAAAATTTCAAACAATAATATTAGCTTTACTTGTTGTTTTTTTTAGGTGAATCAATTGCAATTGATGGAATATCTTTAAAATGCTGAGGTAATCAAAATAATTTTTAATTATTCAGGAATTTTAAGGATTAAATTATTTAGCAAAAAAATTGTTTGATAATGAGTTCAATTTAAATTAAAAAAAAAAATTAATGTTAGTTCTCGCACAATTAATATCAGTTCTCTTATCTAATAAAATTTAGAATATTTTCCAACAATTTTGTGACCTCCATGAATATAAAGGGGAAAGGTGGAAATATGCTTTAAGAGCACTAATTTATACGGTGTAGTGAAAGGTATACCTTTATAAGATATGTAAAACTTTTTTATTCTCATTTTTTATATATTCAAAAATTTCTCCTTGTGATTTTTTTTTTTTTTTTTTTTTTTTTTTTTCTAATTCTTTTTTATTAACAGCTTCTTCTATTAAATACGATGGAGCGACTGA